TACCACCTGAAATCAAATGAAATAAAATTCCCCGGAATGCGCAAATAATCGGGAGATTATTAGTTTCGAAGGAAGGGGGTGGGACCGATTGAAAGAATGCCGCTCGAAATTCGAGAGAGAAAAAAGGGGTTAGAAACGGCACCGTTTCGACGTGCTCGATAGTCATCTGTTACACGTTGGGATAGGTCGAGGCGGCGGGTACGGTGCAGCACACGGCTGCGAGGAATTGGATCGTTCGGTCTACCGGGTGTCGCCCGACTACCCGATTAGACCGAATGCGCTCGAAAAAGGTGGGACATCGGCCATTGGTTTATTCATTTCGCTCGTTCGTGCGAGGAATTCGAGGCCGACAACGCTTCCGTATCCGATAACGTGGCCAACGGGCAAAAAGGCGTTCGTTGCTTGCTAGCAGTTGCAGAGTCACGGGAAGAAAATAAAGTCCCCTCCGCTCGTTGGTGGTGGAATTGCCGAGTGGTGGATGCATATGTCGCGCGCGTATAAATATTGCGCAACACGCGGCAAGAATCGAAGGGAAAACATCGACAGCACGACGACGTGTATTCCGTTACTCGGGGCGAACGACTGGCGGACTACTCAGCTTCGCATCGTATTTCTGCCGGCGAAACTCGCCAACGTTTTACGTGTTGTCGGCGGTTCCAACCTCGAGAGAATCGACCACCTCGACGACGAGGGGCGGAATGCGGGATAACGCAATTTTTATAGAACGGTGACGTAAAAGAAAGATCATTCTCGATCCAGTAACGTTTTAAAACGAGCCGTTACGATGGTAGTCGAGGAACGACGAATGACTCACGTTGGCCTAGGTCGTGGTAAAAATCGTTCGCAGTCGCCTCTGCTCGTAACGTTCGTCTCGATCCCTGATCCTGAACGAGCTTTCTCTCGAGTTTTCGCGTGTCGAGGAAGGGAGCGTGTAGAGGTGATGGCTCTCGACGAGAGCTCGTGTAATCACTCCCTATCCAGATCTATTCGGACGGAAGATTGACGAAAATGACGAGTATCGTGATGCGGCACGAGAACGTATTATGCATATCGAGCGTATATTCGGAGAAAGCCCGGAGCGAATTAAGCGACGATAATAACGTTCGATTACATTCTACGTAAGCGCAATCATGAAAATCACAGTTCCGGCCGAACGTGTTCGGAGGCCACCGAAGCTGAGGAGCCTCGAGTTGAGTCGAGGTCGACGTCCGGACGCAACAAGTGCTGCTGCGACTCTCGCTGCGCTCGCGATCCTCCTCGATATCGTACCGAGATTTTCAACGATGCCCCGCTTTTTCGCGTCCCAAACATCCGTCCTTCCGTCCTTTTTCGTCCTCCGACGAAATTACTCGCCGAGACTTGGAAGAAGAAGAAGAAGAAGAAGAAGAAGAAGAAGAATAAGAATAATCTCGTTGCCCCTGACTTTCCCTTGTGCGAGGCCGGAGAGAGATTCGATTCGGCCGGAAGTCGAAGGACCTCCACGAGGTTGCCGCGCGTACGATCATCGTGTACACCGTGCAAAATTTTCGGTCTAGAAGACGGTCAATCCGAGGCGCGGAGCCTCGGGTTGAGTCCGAGGTCGACGCCCGGGCGCAACAAGTGCTGCATTACGTACGTATACGCTGTTACACCCCACCCCACTCACTCATACAATCGAACGGCCGGCCCTCCTCCCCTCTCCCCTTGCGCAGGAAGCCTTCTCCCTCTCGTTCTCTCTCTCTCTCTCTCTCTCCTATCTGCCCGCCGTGGCTTACCACACTATGTCGCTCGCGCGAGAGAGCATCGGACGCAAGAGACGGAAAGAGAGAAGCAAAGCCCTACACCACCATCACTACTACGGGAGGAGGAGAGATGCGGAGAAAGAACGAAAGAGAAAGACGGTGAATGCCGCGGCGAGTGGCAAGCAACGGCAGAGGCGCGCGCCCGTGCCTCCTCCTCCTCCCCTGCGCGCACCAACGTCGCCTGTAAATATAAAACTGCACTGGGTCAGGGATCCGTGATTTATCGGCTGCCTCGTGTAATTGGCTGCCGGCCAATAGATACATACCCCCCCGGGCTACCCGCTGGGACATGAAGGGAACGCGCCTACCCCTCCTCTCTCTCTCTCTCTCTCTCTGTCTAGGCTGACTAGAACCTCTCCACCAACCCCTCTGTCCTTCTTCCCTTGTCGCGCTTTCTATGCCCCGCCTCCCCTTGCTTCCGCGTCTTTCACCTCGCCACCCTGTGTCGCGCGGCGGCGGCGGCCATGAGAGGAGGATAGTAGCGAGGCGTCGGTGCCGAAATTTCGTTGGCGAACCCGCTCGGTAACCGCGCCACTTTCACTGAAAATCTAAGCCGACCTCGCTTGGCACCGTGTCAGAATCACGGTTAAGAAGCGACGCGGCGGGCCTTCGGTCAAGTTTCGACTCGGGAAACGAAAGAACGCCACGCGAGAAACCTGGTACACGGTCTGATGTAATATCGTATGTATCGAGGGGTATTTATATTCGAGTTTCATTTTTATTTTTATAAAGATCGCGTGGAAATTGTCATAATTCAACGCGCTTCCCGATTTCGATTTTCGTCAATGATAAAATGATAAAAATTCGTACCGGCTGTTTCGCAACTGTGTTGGATGATATCATTCGTACATTACGCGATGTTGTAAATTATGCAAAATTATGCAAAATTATCTGTAACGTTTTATAAAATTGTAATAGTACTATTAATAGTAATGATAGTAGTAAAGATAATTTCTTAGACAGCCCCTTTCGTGGAATGGAGAAGAAAGAGGAAAAAATGGCGCATCCGATAACCCTATACACGCGCCGATCGAAGACTTCCGCACTTGCGAAACATTTCGGTAGACCTTCTCGTCGTGGATTCCACGATGTTACGTTTGCACAATACGTAGCCGAGGGAAGGTCTCGGCGAATGCTTCGCGACATTAGGTATGATATGCTGGTACAGAGGCACGCGATAAAAGAACAGTGGCGAAGAAGGAAACAATGAGATCGAGGGGGCTTCTACGAGTTGACGCACTTTCGCGGAGGTCAAATTCCACACGACTACGCGCGCGCGGCTCGCGAAGACATACCGACGACCTTCGTGGTATTCGTTGCATCGTAAATAAAGTGTGCCAATATCTGGGATATAGAGTCCACACAGTCGGCATCGTTTGTTCGCGTCCCATTAGTGCGATTTAGAAGAGGGAAGGAAGAAAAAAGAGAGAGAGAGAGAGAGAGAATACGTTGAATGATTCATTCGAGAGAATCTCGCGAATATAGAGCGAATTATCTTACACAGTGACGATTCGTTCGAACGCAAACGAACGCATGACGCGTATTATTTCTGAGCAGCAATTGATGCACACGCACAAAATGAAACGTACGAAAATTCTCATTTTTTGCAAAGATATAATAAATTTTGCAAAAAAAGCGTAATGTATAACATGTGTAACGCGTTATGAGCGTTGTATTTGTACGTAAATCGACGTTTAGACGTTTCGGAAAGTGGAGAGGTTAATATACCTTGGCCGACGAAAAATTGCACGAAACACGCAGTATGTTTCTTCGGATGTAAAAGAGACTCGTAAACTCATAGACGCGACTCTCACGCGACTTCCCCTTTCCACTTCCGCGTACGTACATCGTTCGTGTTTGCTAACCGTAAGCATATTGAAATTTGATACCACGTGCGAGTTATCATGAATGAAACTGCGACCTCTCAACGATGCGAAAGTTTCACACGGTCGCCATCTCTCGTGAAACATTCAAAGATAGGGTCGACAAAATGATATAACCTCACTATTCCAGGCGACAACAAACGAGATAATCACCACGTGACTGGTCGAGAATATAGCGACAATCTTACCTTGACGGGATAAAAATCGTTGCCTCGAACATTCTCCTTGCTTCGCATCGGTAGTCTGATCATTTTTCTGAAATAATTAAAGAAAACGAAAACAGAAGACATCAGCCGACTGTATCGGCACGCACGAACGCGATACACACTTTCGATTGTTTTGATAGACCCGACATCACGGCTTCGAATTTCGATACATTGTCGTAAATTGGTGCTTTCGTGCCTGAAAGCTGTATTTTTGTGGAGTAAAGGGCTTTCAGCGGATCAAATTTGACACTTTTCACGTCCAAACTCTCGTCGGACGTCGAACTGCTTTCGTCGTCTGCCATGTCAAAACTGTCCGACTTGATTTTGAGCGGGCGATTTGAAATTCATTGTCTCGATGAATACTTTCTCTCGAAAATAATACGTATCCAATACGTATTTATGTGTATCAGCTTGAAAAGAAAACAGGTGTTCAGTGGTAACATTTTCGCTTTGAAAAATTTCTATTGATTATATAAAGAAAGGAACTAATAAAGTTTCATTAGAGAGTTCTCTTTCTATGCGGGTATACAGATATTTGATCGCTTCATTTTCGACGTAGCGAGTTGCTTCCGATTACATCGGGCTTCGAGCGATATTTGAATAGGTAGAGGATGTTAACCTCCTCGCAACGATAGAAACTTTCTTTCGCGGCTGAGGATTACGTAAAAACAGCGGCGTGTAGAAGCTGCATAGAAATGCATCGGCAGCAAGAGAGTGAGGTTACGCGCACAGGAAGTGAAACAACTTACAAGCCAGAAAGAAAGTTTTCACTCGATGTTTTCACTTTCATGGAAATGCCAACGTTACTTACTTACTCTGTTATACTGCTGCTACATGAATCAATTTCTAATTATTAGAATCGACGGTTTCCTCGCATCGACGAATCGAATGATCGGCTGAATTGTTTCACGGTCCGCCATGATTGAATCTATCGATTCGTCGTCCTTTAATATCGACGTCGAGTATATCGAGCTAAATATCGATGGTTGCGATCTCTAACGGAACAGTTGCGAAATTAAACAGTCGCGAGAACATGTTTGTTTCGTGTAACGACAGAAAGTAATTTTTTAAATGTAGTTTTAAGATTTATCATTGTTCAGTGAGAATTAAACGAGATATGTTTGTTTCAGGGGAATCGAAGTAGCGCGTAAATTGAAAGAAAGAAATCTGAGGAGTAGAAAAAGAAGGAGGCGAAAAGTGGGGACGTTTCAAAGGTGGTTTTGGATGTTAGAAAGCGCGGGGGTGGCTAGAGAGGCCCCGCCGCAGGGTACGGGTCCCGATGCCGGTCCCCGTATCGCAAACCCTTACGCTGACCTCCACCCTCGTGCCCAAGGAGGAGTCAAACATGCCCTTCATAGACGACGAGCTTCTTTGGTGCCCTGACAATGACGGCAAAATGGTCGACTTAACGCAATGTCTTCAGGTTGGTTCGCCGTGATGATTTTTAATAGAGATTTTTAAATTTAAAAAAAAAATTGTAAAAGATTATAAGATAAGGCTTTATCGTTTTATCAGGAAAGCAGTACAGGGCAGTCAGTAGAATTTTCCCCGATGGAATTAAATGCCCTTGTAGGGACGCCGGCTGCTCCAAATATGCCGGCAGAAGAGGGCGAAGGAATGGCTGGTGTCACAGGAGAAGAACCCTTTGACACGTTGGACACATTCCTTCGAGAATTGCAAGCTGATTTGGCTGAAGCCAGTCAACCCACGTCCACTACAACTTCCGTAACCCCTTCCTGTAGACGGCAGAGGTATAATATCGCAGCCGCAAATCCTTTGTTAGCAGGTAAATAAACAAAATTTGAAATATATTTCAAAGAAGAATTGTCAATCGTTTATTACCGATCGTTCGTTTCCGATAGAGAAATTAGCGGCTCCTTCGTCGCAAACATCTCCAACCTCTATCCCGTACGCAACGAGGGCGGAAATCAAAACGGAAAGTATCCAGCCTGAAACAACGAAAGGTAAGATTTTCAAATTCTCTTTTGCAATTCTTCTTCTTTATATCATAGAACGGTCACTTTAAAAATATCTATATTACCGACAGTAGTTTCATCAACAATAAGATCTCTACTTTATCGACGAAACTGTTTCGTTACCGGTCATGTTGATGAAATCGATTTACCATCATAAATATCATTCTGTCGGTATATTAGAAATTCTTCGTACTCGTGTGTATCTTATATCGATACGAGCAAAATGTATACATCGTACCTTCCCCCCTCCCTCGGATTAAAACTTTACTTGATATTTAAACAATGCCAATTCGCTACTCCGAAAGGGAAACCGGCCAAGGCCCCGCGAATCGCGACCAGACATCCGCGTTAGCGATAATTGCGCTTACGTTCTTGTGTCGACGCGAAAAAAAAAGGCAAGCAGCATTCGCGTGCAACGTGTACATACACAGGCTGTGTATTCGTATTCGTGGTGGCCCAATTCTTACAATTTACAGCCATGTCGTAACAACACACTACGTGCGTACGCGATTTCGCGATTGCTTCGAGTCAACCTCGAGACGTAGGAACGTGCAACGACCATCGAGGAAGAACGTATTTACACGACCTTAAGGCTTATGCGACGCAAATATTATGCCACTTTGCGCGTTAGGTGTCGTGTTCTATAACTTGAAACATACCTGCTGAAGCGACAACGGGACGCTCGCGCCTTTTGCGATAGTTAACGTGTGTGTCACACATGCGTGCATGGAACGTCTTACAAACATATCTTACGTACGACACTGTTAAAGTGGTAACGACCTTTTGTAGGCCGCGTGAGACGCTTAGCCTTTAACCCGAGCATTTAAAACGATCAAAGGGGCGGATGAGTCTTTCTGTCTGCCAGCGTTTAAACGATAACGAAGAAAAATTGTTCAAGTTTTAAAATTTTAAAAAAGAATCGAGAAAGTAACCGTTTGACAATTATACAAATATTTTCTCCTCCATAATTTCTTATATTCTCTTTCTAATATTTTTTTCCTCTCGTTACAACATAAGCAAAGCGTGTAACGTAAATTCTCGATGTTCGTTTTCAATTCACGGTAAATTTCGCGACTATGTTTCAACCGCAACCCGCGACGGTCAATTACGTGCCGTTAGAACACGAATCGGAATGGGTGCTCGCCGTTGTTCTTTTCACATTTTTAGAAAGCGGTTGGAAAGTGAGAAACCGTGTACTTTCTAACAAAACTATTATAAATACAGATTAGAACGATCTTCAAGTATAAAATATTGGCCAAAATGTGTCTCCTGTTTTATTCACCGTTCCAATTGCCCGTCGATAACAATTTTCCGGCCGTTTCCCGTTTCACTTTGCCAACGGCGAAAGAGCATCCCATCGATCCATTTACATGTCGCAGTCGATCGATCTTTCTTGCAAAAATACTCGCCTCGTTATCGCGTAATATCACGGACTCGATGCACACAAACCGTAACTCGGTTGCAAATATTCGATACTCCCATTTTACCCAGTGAACTCCTTAAGTCACGGAGGAGAAAAGAGAGTATGCAATACTCTCTCGTGCATACTCTCGCGTGCACTTTTGCTCGGTACTCTCGGTCATGGGATCCGACTGTCTCGCCTCTTCGACACGCATCACTTTCGCCGTGTGCATCCTGCGTAACCGATAAAAAGTTGGATTTTCACGTGATCGTTGATCGTGTTAAAACACGGTCACGCTCGCGATATACTCGAAGCGTCAGCCGCGTGAAAATTGGGTATATCGGTGAATTTTCACGTTCCTTTCTCCGAATGTAAAAAAAATCATTCGCTCATAAAAAAAAAAAAATTGAAATTTCACGCGCGAATCCTGAACGCTCCTCTCCAGATGAAAGAGATTGATTTCTCGCTGGCATGGGAGGAGGGGGAGGGGGGAAAAAAATTACAGTTTGTAGAATTGGAGGCGTGACAGGGAAACGCGTTTCTTTACCCCCCTGTTGCATCCAGCTGTACGACTCTTGTGCACTTGTCGCTACCCTCGTTCCCTTGACCCTCTCCAAACACATAAATTCTCCTCTTCCCCCTGTTGCGCTGTCTCCTTCCCCCGTCCTCTCTCTCTCTCTCTCTCTCTCTCTCTCTGGGTTAGGGCCCCACGGAAATAGATTCGAGACCCGACCCGACGTCGACTCCTCTCCTCTCCTCTCCTCTCCCCTTTCACTCCCTTTCTACGCCTGTTGGTCGAGGAAAAACAGGTGCAGCGAATCGATATCCGACCATGGTATTGCCATCCATGCATCTTCGTATGATCGACCGCGATACACGATTTATTTTCCTTCTTTCTTCTCGTCTTTTTCTTTTATTTTTTTTCTTTTTTTCTTTTTTACCGAGTCGATTCGAACGATCCAAATGAATTTGGATTGGCGATTTACAAGATCACATTTCCATCCCGTACATCGCGTATTGGTCGAAATATCCGAGGAATTGGAATCGTTTGGAAGAACAAACGGTTCTATCATTATCATTTTAAAACGCGCACCAACATGCGATGCGTATCGATCCTTACGATTCTTTTATTAACTTCCAAACGTGGTCGTGCTCATTTTTTGGTCGTTCAATTTGTCTTAACTTCGAACGACGGAATCGAAAAGATAACAAATCTATAGTGTATACTTACTCGTAGATATTGTCGATCGTCTCTGGATCCAACTTTGATATCCAAATTTATCCAATCTTCTCGTAAAACGTCTACTCTACTCGATTTTTCGGCTAAGAAAAAAAAAAAAAAAAAATCGTCCCAACGTACAATGTTCGCGATAAAATCGCGAGAAAAGGACGAAGATCGAATGGGAAGCGGGCACGCAAGTCGTCTGATTTAACCTGGATCGCGTGTTGGAGAAATCCTGGAATAAAGTCTTGCCTTCCCTGTTTTTCTCCATCTCACTTTTCACCGTTACTCTCCGTCCATCCGTCCATCTCCCCCCTCTCCCCGAGACAACAAAGCTTTCGCGCCCGAACGAAAGCGAAGTCACAAGATGGCCACTTTTAATAATAAAGAAACGCGTACACACCGCCGCTTCCATCCCAACCGTGTGTATATCGCACCCATACACCCACGTAATCCCCTCTTCTCCCCCTCGATCGTTTTCGTTTGCCTCGCGGCCGGTGATAGTGCGGCCACGTAACGAGAGTGTTGACATTTTCTGCAATCGGGTCAGGGCCCCCTGTCGAGCCGCTCCGGCATTACCTATAACCCCTCCCGAGGCGAGACACGAGCGCCACTGTGGAACTAACGTGGATGCCTCGCGGAAATGGCCGCGGAAATGGGAGACAATGGAAATGTGCGTGTAAAACGATGTCGAAGAAATATGGGATAACGATATATCCGAGGCGTTCCCGAAAAGAAAATGTTTATAATTTGGAAATTGTTTGAGCGTGTACTTATTCCGCGGAAATGTTGTACATATTGTACGCGAGCGAGTAAAGAATGTTCGCGATTGTTGTTTTGGAAATGGCGTGTTACTTTGTTTCTTCTCGTCGTTGAATCGTGAATGGAAGCGTGAACGAAGAGGAATCTTCTGTAATCAAATGCACGTATGATTTTTTCCTTTTTCTTCTCTCTCTCTCTCTCTTTCTCTCTCTCTCTCTCGGTTCGTTTACGTATTTACGAGGAAGATTGATAATTGTTAGTTGGTTAGTTAATTCGTTCTTTTCCCGATCGAAAAGATTCAATGATTTTCCGGCATAAGTGGGAATAAAATGTTATTGGAAGAAACGGACGAGAGATGATCGAAATTATGAATATTTATTTTCCGCGTTACGCGCGTGAACTTTTTTTCTAATATAGATAGTTACTTGCCTCGCACGAGATATTTAAAAAAAAAGCGTTTTACGCAGTTACACGTACACGTACAGTTTATTTACCAGAGCGTGGGCCGTAGACAAAGAGCTAAAAAAGTAACGTAGATCGATTTTTACCTCAGTGAAATCTCACAGTGGATATATTAGCAAGGATATTGGAAAAAAAGGAAAAGGTTCGTTCCCGATGTATTCGATGACAACGACCGTCTTAACATAACCTCTCTCTTCCTTTCTATTTTCACGACAATAAAACAAAAGTAATATTGTAATTATCGTTGATTAGAATATTTCAACCTATCATTTTAACAAACCAATATATATTCACATATATTCTTTCAAATTTAATGGAAATATCCCAAAGTATTATACGACTTTATTATGTCACAGACACTCTCGTTCCCTCTCGTTCCCTTTTAGAGTCGGAATTCTTAGCAGCGATCGCGAGTCGATTTTAGGGCACCGATCGAGCCAGTTGAGTGACTCGATGCGATGCGAGCGAGTCTAGGCAGTGAGTCATCGTGAGCCGCTTTTCCTCGCGAAAGGACTAAATTGACGCGTAAATACGTAACGAGACAGAACGAGCCGCGTGACGAACGTCCAAGTTCCCCTTCGAAAGAGACCCTCTTCTTTTTTTCTTCTTCTTCTTTTTTTCTTACTTTCACGAGCTCGTCTCCCTTTGCCTCGCCACCTCGAATCGGTTTCGCCCATGTAGATCACCGCCGTTTCCATCCGTCGTGGAAAGTAAACGCGTGCAGTAGCCTCGTCTCGCCGTGCAAACAAATAAAGAGCAATCTTTGACTTTGGTAGAAAAAAAAAAAAAAAAAAAAGGAGAAGAAAGGAAAGTTGGAGAAATAACCTTTTGACGATACGATACGAGGAATCATCGACGCACGATGGGAAAGAAATTAGGATGAAAACTCGAGCGTTTTCGAAAGCAGGAAATCGGGAGAAACTTTCGATTGTAGAAAAAAAAAAAAAAAAAAGAAGAATCTTGAGATAATATTTACCCAAAGTCTCGTTTCGCTTCCCCACGCGGAAGTTGGGCTTCGATTATGCCTCGCTAATTTTTTCGATCGACACTCGGCCGGCTGAAAATTCGAGCTTCGAAACAGGCGGGATTCCGAGAACCACCTGTTGGAAATCTACCGGTGGATCTGTACAAACATGTTTT